AGCGCCTTGTACAACGGAAGCAGGACCTCCTTATCCCTACTAGATATACCTCGCCTAATGCATCCCAAGACAGGAAGCAGGACCTCCTTATCCCTACTAGATATACCTCGCCTAATGCATCTTCCATTCCAGGAATTGAGAGACAACAGCTAGAAAACTAACCTACGTACCCAAGTGTCCCTCATGACAATGCAGAGCATTACCTGCTAGGCCAGCTCATCCATCTTTTCCCTTACTTTGAACGCAATCATATATTTGTAGATATTTTTTCAAGTTAAAGAGTTGATATGGCCACTGTTTGCTCCTGAATGAATCTGTAACCTTGTGGATCTGAAGCATACAAATCTCTTAGAGTGAGGCAGATAATATACAAAGAGTTCATTCAGTGTGTAGGCAGATAGGAATGTTAGTACCAGGCAGCTCTCTAAAGAATGTTATTTTGGCAGAAGCTGCCCTGTTAAAAATGAGGGAGGGAAATGAATTTGAAATGTAGCTGGCCAGCAATTACAAAGTGATAAGAAAAGCTGGCTGTTCAACATGAACTTCCAGTTGCATATTCTGGGTCCTTGCTATTCTCAGTCCCTCCTACAGCCCATGGCCCTGACCAATGTTTTGATATAGTACAAAGTGCCTGTTTATTACTATTGACTGTTGAAGTCTGCACTCTGAAATGCATTCTGTCAACAGAATGTAAGTGAACTTGGTATTTTAAAGCTCTGCTATTGCAGTAGCTTAGTTTTCGTGGGATTTCCATGCAGCAGGACCAGTGTTGCAGTCCCCGATTCAAGTTGAAAATGTTACACAGGAAGACGTACCGTGTAAAGGTCAGATCCAGCTGTGATCCAGAGGGTTTTTTCCTCTTATTGACACATTTATATACACCAGCCTTGTTTGTTTGTCCCCTGTCAAAGCCTAGGGTTTTGTATGGAAAACCTCATTGTTTAATGCATACTCTCTTGATGCTAAGATGAAATGGGTGTATAGCATATTACTAGATATAAAGTTACCATTCAGGGAAGCAATCGCAATCTGTATTACTTATGATGTGTTTCACTCTTCTTTGGGAAGTGATAGCCATTATGGTCCATCAGTCTATTTAGTCTTCATGATTTTATAAGAAATACATGTGTTCTTCTGTATTACCCCTCTAGGACCTCCAGACAGAGATTGAAGCTCATACTGACATCTTCCACAACCTGGATGAAAATGGACAGAAAATCCTGAGATCCTTGGAAGGCTCTGATGATGCAGCATTGTTGCAGAGACGCCTGGATAACATGAACTTCAGATGGAGTGAGCTTAGGAAAAAATCTCTAAACATTAGGTAGGAACCAAACACAAGAAAGTGCTTTCAATTAATCTGAGAGACAGAAAGGTACCTCTCTCTCAATACGAGGGCATAATTTGTTTCTGATGGTGCTATTTCATTCATTTTTTATGTGATTCATGATATTTTGAATGTTGAATTACTTTCTAAGAATGATTGATTAATTTACTTGGAACAGAAATGATTGTGGAGGATTAGGATTTGAGGAACATGATGAGGTTTATAATCACAGTTGTGTTCTTGAAAAAGAGAGTATTGTGCTTAAATAGTAACTCTCTCTAAATGCAGGCTTTTTACAGAGCTGGGTATGGCTTATCAATGTGACATAAAAGAGACGTTATTAAACAACATAATAATTATTATGCACTGCATTTGTGAGGCTCTTCTTTCCACTGCAAAACTAAGAATACATTTACAGATGAGAGTATATGTTATTTTAGGCTTCTTCTGTTAGATAAAGAGGGGGCAAAGTTGAAACTTAAAATCCAAGGGTAAAAACTGTCTCTGGGTTTCATGAGAAAACAAACTTCTTGCAAGGAAGCATACAATAAAGGGTGATGTTACAAAAGATCTAATGGAGATGCAAACCTCTAAGGATTTAGGATTTCTTTTCTGGAGAAACTGTCCAAGAATCTTCTCTTTATAAATATGCCTTTTACAGTAGAGAACCTGGCTCCAATGCACTCACTTTCAGTCACTCTTTCATTCGTTCATTTGTTGTATGATGGTGGTAGTTCAGAGGGCATCAAAAGGTAGAAGCATTTTCAAAGTAATGTATGAAATATTAGCTTTTGAAGCTCAAGCCCTGAGGGAGGTCAGTGTGTGTAATGACAAAAGCCATCTTCATAACATCAATCATTAAAAATAAATGAAAGATGTGAGGCTGAAAAGATATTGGTAGTTGAAGTAAAGAAAAGAAGACAGATTTCTTTTTTTTTCTGATGAGCAAAAGAAAAGGGATGTAACCATTCAAAGCATTATTTTGAGTTCTTTTTCTTCAGATGCCTTTTTACCCACGAACTTGCTGATATAAAAAGAGGTTTGAGAAAAGAAAAACAGCATGTTGGCCAAACACGGGCAATTTAATAGATGAGATTTTTCTACATCCCAGCTACTGCTGTTCAATTATTGATGTGATTAATCAAGTCAAAAATAGTAACCCTAGTTTATCACAGTTGCTTTATACTCTTAAATTAAACATGTAAGGCAATGGGCTTACTCTCTCAAACAGTTGGTCATAATGAAGGATTCGGAATAGCTAAAACATGTAAGGTAAAAGAGCTAATGCTTTAGCTTTTAGACCACTGAGTTCAGATATGACTGACTAACAAATTGAAATTAGTTTGGTACTCAGTCTAGTCCCTAGGGATATTTCTTTGCATCACACGATTTGGTACTATTCCCCATGATTGACAGTATATACTATAGAGAGGTTTTGTAACAGAAGCTTGCCCTGCAGTGTACTGGAGGTATTAACCCAACCCGTCTGTTGCTGTCTTTTATTTGCACTAAAAATAGACACTAAAAGGTGATTATTATTTGTATTTAAGTTTTAGAAAACAGGAGGAGGAAACCATGGTTACTGAGCCAGCATCAGCCTATTCCATTCTGAGTTTCTGAACGCATTACATTTTGTTTAAAGAAAGTATATGGTAGAAGGAACAATTTCAAGGGACATTAAGGAGAGGCAGAGTTTGATTTCCATTATTATGTACTTTTTCACTGTTCCACACTCCTGATCAAGTCTGCCTAAATCAGCAAGTTTTCCCAAGGTACTTTTCACCTGACTTTTTAAGTCCTTGATTTTAAGACCCCAGTCCAAAATTGACTTTATTTTGATCATCTGCTTTGTCCTTTGTTAGATACTTAAATATGTATATGTATTTAAAATAGTATATATAAAAATACCTATTTAAAAAGAACATGGTACTAAATATGAATTTAAAATATAGATTTTTACTTTGGGAAAAAAACCACCAACCACCATCACCGGATGGGTCGGTTAACTTGGTGTCCCCAATAGAACTGGGGCAATCAAATTTGTACAGAATTAAAAGAATGGATTAGATTGATGTTGCACTATGTAGCTTAAATGCTGTACAGTTTGATCAAAAGATGAGCATTAGGCAGCAATTCATGGACTTGGATTGGGAAAAATTATGACTTACATTGTAATATCAGGGCAAAAATTCTATGAATGATTTCATTCAATTTAATGATTTTTTTTCTTAATTTGATGTTATAAGGACACTTATTCTTCATGTTTTACAAATTCAAAACAAGACAGTGGGTAAAACCTTCAAAAGCAGCTAAGTTACTTTGGAGACTGAGATATTTTTGAAACTAGGATTGAGGCTGTTAAGTCACTGAGGTGATTTTGAAAATTTTACTCTATAGCACTCCAGGCAAAGAGGAATGAAGTATTTATTCCACAACATAACCACCTTTTAGAATGTAAGCCATAACATGTAGGAGGCCATCCTCTTGATTGTTTTAGGAAAGCATATTTTGCTATAAAAGTGAGAGAAGGCAGGCTACATGGAGGGGTCAAGAAAGCACACTAATCACTCAGGTGATGATGTAGTGTTCTTGAGCAGGGAGGGGCCTGCATGCTCCTGTGTGCTCTCCTCCCTCATAATGACAGTAGTTTTCAAAGTGGGGGTGGAATTGTGACCTCTTGCACAAGTTTATGAGTCAAAACAGCAAGACCTTGTTGCTCTACAAGCTTGGCTTTACAACCCTATTCTCTTTACTCTACACTTTGCTGACCTGGTGTACAAGATCAGAAATTACTATAGGTGCAGTAGAGCATATTTTTTAAAAATCACCTGTATCCACCAGTCCTTATCAAATCAAAATCAGGAGATCCTGAAAACCACAGGGAGTCCATGTGTGGCACTCTTCCTCACAGCCCCATTCCTTGTAGTGTATAGTGGCAGATTATTAATGACCAGACAATACAAATATTGAGTGAGATCAGAAAATGGGATGTAAAAGGTTCCCGGATAAGCAAAGTTGGAGGTTAAATAGAGGCAAAATAAACTTAAATTTCAAAGCTAATATACATCTTTTGGGGGGCGGGGGGATTTAGATTCAACATTTTCATATCTTAGCTGTTGTATTATATTGTTTGGATCTGAACTAATGCGATAAACTATTAAAAGCAGTGAAAACTCATTAGGGAGTTCTTCCTGCCAAAAATGATGCAAGGGCAACATTAATAATGGCTTTATATGCATTCCAATGTGTAAGAGGGAAAAAATATTATGCAATACAAATAAATGCAGCGTAAACAATAAATTAATCAATACAGAGATGGTCTATTCACAGTCTCATTCCTACAGTAGATCTGTTTATAGTAAGTAATTACTTGATATTATTAGGCTCAACATTAGGTTAGGCATATTAAGCACCAAGTACTGATAATGAGTAAGCAATAGAGAGGTGCTTCTTATGATGTTGATTTGACCAGGGTTATGCTTTCTCTTTTCTCCGGTGATGTATTTTATTTCTCTCACATCCTACCTTCAAATGGAGCAAACATTCTGTAGCATAAATCATTGATTTGTCTATTTATAAAATAATCTACTAAATATAAGGTTTACCCTATAATGTTTGTGAGGAGGAGTAACTGCATGAGTCTGTTGTATGGTGGACTAGCTGCCACAGTGGAATAGGCAAGTCGTTCTGCTTCTCTGGAGATGAAAGTTCAATCTCTGATTTGAGGTCTCAAGTGAAGGATGAGTTGCTTGAGCATATTTAGCAAAAACAGCTGTCAAACTCTGTTCAAGAAAAAACAGGTTTGGAATAGCAGGTGTGTTTCAGGTCAGGACTGAGGTACCTCACTCAAGCCAGTGCTGATGTAGCCAAATTCAAAACCCATGTAAGTGGGCAATGGAATAGTCCCTTTATCCCTAATTTTAATAGTCACTAAATTAATAGCCACTGCCAAAAACCTTCAAGAGTGAGTGCAGGCTGTGTCGTGACCTTAACCAATGACATCTAACCTCACCCTGGAGTGTGACTTTTTCTATTATTGTCATTGTAAGTAAAACAATTATTTTCCCTACAGCTGATGCAATAATATATGCCTTGCAGATCCCATTTAGAAGCCAGTTCTGACCAGTGGAAGCGTCTACACCTCTCTCTTCAGGAACTCCTGGCATGGCTGCAGCTGAAGGATGATGAGTTAAAGCAACAAGCACCTATTGGTGGGGATCTTCCCACCGTGCAGAAGCAGAATGATACACACAGGGTAAGATCTTTTTGAATGATCTTTCAAAGGGTATACATTGTGTATAGATCTAATTTTGGTTGAGAGTTAAAACCCTCTTTGTTGGAGAAAGGGTGGTGCCATTTAAAATATATTTTAGAGATAATAAAGAGTGGAATTTTCAAAGGCACCTAATGCCCCTATGCACTTTCACAATCATAGCCTAAAGTGCAATTTAAAACTTTGTTATTAATAGTGCTACTACTAATGTTTTCCTGGGTACTCTGTATTTGCCCTAATTACTCCAACCATAATGCCTCTTACTATTCCTGCTGAAACCCACTCCCTTTTCCTAATGAGGCTCTGAGTACTTAGCACCAAAATAGGACCTTCAGATTGTAAGTCCTCCAGGTAGTTTTGTTTAACTTTGTGTTAACCTGTATCAAAAAGAAAAACAAAAAAAGAATATAGGTTGGGCTTATTGTGCCAGTGCCACCTCTGACAGTTGGGTGCTTTCTGACATTCCTTTATCTGATACAAGTATGGATAATACAATCATAGAAAAAAAAATCATAGAATACCAGGGTTGGAAGGGACCTCAGGAGGTCATCTAGTCCAACCTGCTGCTCAAAGCAGGACCAATTCCCAGACAGATTTTTGTCCCAGATCCCTAAATGGCCCTCTCAAGGATTGAACTCACAACCCTGGGTTTAGCAGGCCAATGCTCAAACCACTGAGCTATCCCTCCCCCCAATGACTCTGGGCAAAACAGATCCACTGGTACGTCATCACACAAAATGAATAAATAAATATATTTTTTTACACATTGCTTACATAATCAGTGTTGTTGGAGAAAGGAATGTTTAGCACCATTTAAGTGTCATTCCCATACTCTTTTTGAAAAATACTGTGACAGGATGCTGAGCAGGAAGACTGCAAGATCATCACCCTGCCATGCCAGCCCCATTTAAGTGAATAAAGTGGATCTGGCTGGAAAGAAGATGGCCCTAATTGGGGAATGAGAGCCAGCTGCCAGCCCAAATAGCCCAGGGCTATATAAGAAGTGAGGAAATGAGGGTGATGGGATGGAAGAGAGTGAGGGAGTGCAGGCAGGCAGGCAGGGAAAAAGCCCTTCCCTCCTGGGTTCAGACCCAAGGAACCCAGAGCTGTGTACTCTGTATGGTGAGAAGGTGGTGGGAACACAAACTGGTAAATAAAAGCACCAGTGGTTTCAGAACCAAAGGGTCTTTGAGTGAGTTTATCTGAACCTAGCAGAGGCAGAAGCCAGGAGGGCCAGGTGCCCTCTGTTACAAGTACCATAGAAAGAACAGGAGTACTTGTGGCATCCGAAGAAGTGGGCTGTAGTCCATGAAAGCTTATGATCTAATAAATTTGTTAG